TATAAAATCACATTTGGGCTGATAGTATAATACGCAATAAGGTACTCTTAATACACATGATCAAGTTAGTTAACAAAATATCAAGTTTTTGAAATATCAACACCTTTGGGTAGAAAGATATTTCTAGACCAAGTAAACTTGTTAACTGTCTTATGCCAATTTTCAAAAATATCACATATAATAACACATTTGGGCAAGATACTAAATGTAAAAATTCAAAATTACGATGCTAATGTCCAAATTTTTTTTAAAAGAAAATCAAATAAATAAAAATGAGTGTGCCACTTTGGCACCTACCACCCCCTTTTATTTCAAAATAATTCTCATAATGGGAGAGCTANCCACTTTGGTAGCTACCACCCACTTCTATTTCAAAATATTTCTCATAATAAGAGCATTTAGATAGACTTGAAGTCCACGAAAAAATTAATTATAATAATCACACAAAATCATAATCATTAACTAACGAAAAGCGAAATTCATCAGATATTATGAGACGAAATTGACAACTTAAATTTCAATACATGCAATGAAATTTAAATGGACATATAATAACGACATTTAATTATTTCAAAAAATATAAAGTCGTCAATTTTAAATATAATTTTAATTTTATGATCAATTTTGAAATTTTGAAATATTAAATTTGAATTTTTGAAATGGGATTTTTAAAATTGATCATAATATATTTCAATTTTGACCTAAAATTAAAATTATGAAAGGGGCCTCAAAATATAAAAATTACAGAATAGGTCACTTTTCTTTAAAATTTTAAAATTCCCCTTTTGCTTTAATTGCAGCCATGGCCCCTAAAGAATCTGAATTTGCAGAAAAAGCTCCCTCCCCCAAATCAACTGAAACCATTTTCCCAAAAAAAAAAACCCTAAGCAGCCCATCCGCCTTGCCGCCATGCCAAAAGAATTGTTTTTTTCACTCAACCCACGGTCAGCGAATAAACGGGCTGCCATGGGCTGCCCAAGATAGCAGCCGACTACATCAGCAGCAGCCGTGAGCTGCAGCGAGCAACGGAACCCATAGGCAAGATACACGAATCCAAGCTGGCTCATAAACCGTTTGTAGCTTTGCAGCAAATACATTAGGAAGTGCTCCCTTCTTAGAAACTCCATCATCATTAGCTAAGCTGATCTTTTTGGCTTTGGAATTGAGCAATTCTTCGTTCGTCTTTCCATGCCAAAAATAACACACAAACATCATCTAATAACTGAAACCCAATATTAAACTCGTTTGGATTTCCCAACAGAAGGGTTAAAACATCAAAGGCTATTTTTTCATAAACAACTAATTGATTAATTAAATGAGCCAAGAATTTCAATACAGCCAACAATTCTGACTTCAGCAGCAAATAGAAGTCCAATATATGGTAAATTAGAGTTAATAATTGCAGTTAATGACACGAAAACAATTCTAAATTACGGCGAGACCTTCTGAGATTTCAAAATTGCGTAGCAGAATAAACCTCTGCCCACAATCAAAGTCTACCCAATTACAATCAAATTATGTGGTGCTTGGAATACATACAAACATATTTAATTATTTTAGTGGTAATTATAAACACATATGCACAGACGGATGGAGGGTGTTGGAAAAGGATTATAATAATAACAATACAGCGCGAGAAGAAGAAGAAAGAGGGCAGGGGCGAAGACTGCCGGGGTTTTTAATTTGGAGCCATAGTGTTTTTTTTTTTTAAGGATTCGAATCTTATGCCGCTCTGATACCAATTGTTGTAATTATTTAATACAATCATGCTAAGAATGAGAATCACATAATTAATTGAAAGTTCGAAATTCATACATGCAGAAGATATTTTGTGTGTATGTGTGAATATTACTAGCTAGATCTTCTTATCCTTGCTCCTCAAAATAATCACTCGTTAATGGGACAAGCCAAAATGATATGGGGAGGAGAGGGGACCTAGCCATTATATAGGAAATTATAAAGTGGGCACATTACCGACTCTAACCCTAATTAGGGTTTACATAATTTCGATCAACATACTTAAAATTACCATATTATAATAATATAGCATGTAAGTACAACGGCATACGTGATCACTAACATATTGAGCCTAATCAAAGTGTTATTAAAGACCATACATCTAACACGTAAAATTCGCAATCAAATGGAAGCCCACATAATTAAATTATTCTAATAGCGTCAATTACAAAACTTCTGTGGCTTACAAAGTCCCGTATATTTTCCATCTTCGACAAGCATAAGTTCTATTCTCCATATAGACTACATATTCCCCATTCGAACACTCTACTTGATATTGATTTATCATATTCCACCGCAAGATGCATTCATAGGCTGCATCAACATACTTCTCCAGAATCTTTCGGGCTTTTAAAAATATTGATTTGTTGTAATTTCTCAATTTGTCTCGCTTCACTTGAATTCTATGCATCAACTTCATCTAAATGCCTATCAACATTGTAAGTATCGATTTATCTCTTTCCTCAAGAATGAAGTTGTTGAAGCACTCACATAGGTATTAAGGAGCATTTTGCACTTCGGCTTATCCAAAAAGTGAGGCCTTCTCCACTCAGTCAGACCTGCAACCATCTACATGCCTTCGAGCTAGCAGATTCAATCTTCACCATCCAATACTTGAAAGATGTCAAATGGCTTGATTTGAAGCACCCCACAAACAATCTTTCAAGTAGCCCTTGAAGTTACTTCAATAGAAATTTTGATACATATGCCTAACACAAAGCCCATGTGCCGCTTCTGAAAATATATAGATAAGGACATAACTACCCAGTTCTCCATGGAAAGGTCTTCGGATAACAACATTAGAAACCAACACCACGAACTAGTGTTCTCTTTCTCAAAGATAGCACACATAATTGGATATATGCAATCTTTGACATCAACCTCAACTGCTGCTAGCAATTGGCCACCATAGTTTCCTTTCCAAAAACATCCATCTAGACAAATAAAACATCAACAACCGTGCATAAATCGTCTTTTACATGCCTCAATGCAAATATAGATACCCTAAACACATTCTCCCCCCCGAGAACTTATCACAATTGAACCTGAATTTGTTCTTCTCAATTCAGCACTATAACACCATAACAACGTCAATTGTTCTTCATAGCTCCGTTATACTAAAACTTTGGCGTATTTCCTCATATTTCACACGACTACTTTAGTAATGTGCAAACCAAAATCCTTTCTCACAGTGCTTCTAAATGTTTTATCTTCCATTCAGGACCAGCTCTAAAGTCATCTAGAAAATATTTTACAAGCTATTTATATGTTGCATACTTATTCATTTGGACATTAAAACAAGTGTGTTTGGGATCAAATGATTTAATATGAATCGTTTCTCAACCTTGTAGCTTAGACACCCACAACTTCCATGTGTATCCATCTTTGTAAACACAATGAACCCGATCATTATCATTTTGATTGAAGATATGTTCAGATTGAACACCACATAATTCCTCACAACAGCTTTCAACTTGTTGAATGAAGTAAACAGTAATCCAACCTCAAGATGTGGATTCTTGTTCTCATTGCCATCATAATATTCAGGGAAATTCGACAACTATTCTCCTCAGAATCTGAAACTCCTCCGTATATGCATATGAAGATTATCTAATTCATGAGCTTCTTCATCCTCTAGCATAAAATGCATATCCATTTCGATACCTTTGGTGATGTTACGATCAAACTGAATGTCATCATCATTATACACATTTTTGTCCGAGTTATTGAAGTCTGGATCATCATTGATATAGACATCTATAGTTGTAGTAACAATAACATGAGTTAATACTCCAGTAACCAACAACTAATGTAACGATGCAATGGAAAAAAACCTACTACTGCAACAAAATTGATTCAAAAGTAGATGAAGATTATGATTTCTAACATGTTGATTGTTCCCCAACGTTTGCCATGGTGGTACAAATTGGGGGAGGTGATTGCGGTTCACTCTAGGTGAATTCTTTACGAGTGGATGAGAACTTTTGAAGATGGAGGATGCAATTGCAGGTTTCGTTTGTTGCGAGCACTTTGTTTGGGACATGTTAGGGTAAGGGAAGCACTGGTTACAATTTTAGGGCTTGGGGGCGCGATTTTGGGTTTTAAGTTAGGCAATTTGGTGTTTGGGGCTCTCAATTTTTGGTTGGGGTAGTGATTTACAACTTCTTGGCGATGATTTTTCGTTATGTGTCGACAATTTTCAACCTCTGCCTCTTAGTTTTTCGCCGATGACAAACTTGAGTGCTTCCATTCAAAAAAAAAAAAAAAAACCA